TTCCCAGACTGCCCTTTCCTGACCAACCCCTTACAGTCCCTCATCCCTGTCCTGCCTCCATCATCCCTGATCACCAGGAAGCTCAACGAGGGCTTCATTCGGTTCTGGTGCCCTCTGCCTCCTATCCCTAGAACACCAGTGGCTCCTGGTAACTGTGACTTGCTGACTGAGGAGGAACGAAGCTCTGAGACCTGGATCCACCATGGTGGCTACAAGAAGAGCCTCTTGTCAGATGGGACAGTAGGTGTCCTTGTAGGGGGTGGGGGTTGTGAGCTGTCACTCATTTTGGCTGTCACCAAGCTGTGCTGCATGTCAGTTGGTGGCTCAGAGGTACTTTTCAGTCTCTCCCTTGCCTTAAGTGAAGTCACAAAGTGTCCAGGAGGCTCAGCATTCACCTTGGCTCATTGACCATTGGCCAAGCCATCACATTGCTCTGGGTGGTGCTGATATGGTTCCCTCATCCAGACCAAGATGTGGACATGGTAAGAGGTATTTTTAGTGCTATTTTTATAGGCAAGACAGGAGCCTAACTGGTGAGAAGGAATGCTGGAATAAGGATCAGGAGATCCGAATTTTATTTGTTTTTTGTCACTGTTATTAAAACTAAGCATACGCTAAACATGCAACAGAACCCAGAATTGGAGGCTGATTTAGCAAGACACACACACTGTGACGGGGACCAGTGTACTTGCTTCACATCCAAATCTGGCAGGCTGCTTCACCCTCTACTGAGCACACCTACTCTTAGGGTTCTTTACTTCATGGTAAAGATGAGATTTCATGCGTCATGTGATTTGACACCACAGAGGCTCCTGGGACAGGGAGAACTCAGCTGCTTCACCTTTGACCTGGGCCTTTCCTGGTCCCTGCTGTACTCAACTGGCTCAGAGTCTCGGACCTCTGCTGGGAGAAGGCCATGAGAGAACGTGAGGGCATTCCAGAAGCCAAAGCGCATGTCCTCTGTTCTGACTTTGAGCCATTCCATCGGAGTCAGGGAAAACAGAGGCAAGAGCCAGCCTAAGTGAGAAGCTTCAGGAAAGGAAGGAATGGGAGAGTGATCTGGCCAGAGGGTTAAAGTAGGACGCTGGCAGAAAAACACAAGCGTCGGCTTCCTGGTCAGCCTGCTTCATTATTCTGTGCCAGGAGACGTGGGCTGCCTTCTAGTTGTGCCCCAACTCAGGGGTGAGCTGCAGGGGTCTACTCGTGGCTCCTGTTGCTTTCCTGCAGGCCCCAGCGATGGGGCTGACAGCGCCAGCTGCCGGTCCTCCGGGCTATCTTTCATCAGGACTAGGTGCAGAATGACACAAAATTCCTTTTTCCCCTACCTCTGATATTTCAGAGAAAAGCACACAGCACTTTTTCTGTGTAAGAAGTAGCAAAAATAACAGGTTCGAGAGATTTAAAAGCAAGGCTGGGTGTTCTCCTTGATGCCAGTTCACTCTCTTCATAATGGCACTTGGGGGACAGTGCCTAACTTTTTGAGATAAATGCCAAAAAGACAATAAGTGCTATCTCCTGGTTACACACTGGTACCCCTCAGCAGAGGCTGGGCCAGAGGGGCTACAGAACTGGGGCACCCCAGAGGCCTCTGCTATGGCCTCGCACCAGTGAGCAGGCAATAAACCAGTGACAAGGGCACTCCTAGCCTGCTCCTGATGGCCTCCTGCTGCCCACCGCACAGTGTCACAGCTCATAATTTTGGCCAGGGTGGTGAGTGCATGGCCTCCCTGTCAGCACAACTTGATTTTGTAGAAAGGGAAATTTCTAGTGGCCCACACGGACTCCTAGAGCTCCAAGGATGAAGCTGAGTGGAAGCAGCTCCTTGCTAGCCTCACAGTCTGGCCATAGCTCAGGAGTCAAGACCAATCATCATTCTCCTTCCCCTACACTCCCCAACACATGGGTGGCCACAGGTGGTGGGTGCCATACCGCAATGCCCAGCGCGTGTCCATATCTGCTTTGCCCACGGAGCAGAGGGCAGGGTCCCTCTTACCTCTGTGTCCATGTGACTTAGGCCAGTGCCTGACCCAAGGGAGGAGCCCAGTGCGTGTCCGTCTGATCAGTGGGATGAACGTGGCCTGAGGATGATGGCCTCTAGGTCTGTCTTCCCAAGCTGTGCCTTTCATTTTCCCAGTGGTAAAACTGGAAGAATGAGTGACAGTAATTTCAGAGTTCTCACTCCTGGCAAGGGAAGTGCCTGGTTGTGTTTCTCAGTTTGGATCAGCCTTTGTGAGCAGAGTCACTCAGAGTTCACCTCTAACTGTAGCCAGCTACCTGCCTGCTGTGGGGCTCAAATATGCAAGCACAGATTCTCTTTCTACTGCCTGGAAAATAGGCCACTGTCACTCACTGGGTGTTCTTCTTCATTCATTTGTTCACTCACCAGTCATTCGTTCATGTCGTAAGTATTTAAGTCCCAGGTGCTGGGCCAGCCCTACTGGTAGACGTTTAGCAGCACTGTTGTTCTGTTTCAAGGACAATCATCACCTCAGCTGTGCCCCAGGGAGGAACCACCATCCTCTGCTCTACTTTTTCAGACAGGGCCATGGAGGCAGACTGATGCTCAGCATTGGGGGCAGTCATACAGGCTGTGCACTACACAATTTTAGGGGAGTTGAGCAATATGGAAGTCCTACACTGGGGTCCACAGTCAGTCACCAGGCGTCATTGCTCAGTGGTCTAGGACATATGGCACACTCAGGTCCCACTGAGATGTACTACAACCCCATCAGCCAAAGGTGACAGTGCAGCTGCTAAACCAGAAGACTGCCCATGGCTGGCCCCTTTGTCTGGTCCTAGCAAGCCCACAGCTACTTTAGTGGAAGAGACTCCCTTGGGTCCTGGCCAGTGGCTTAGTGTCCAGAACTTAGTGTCTTTCTTCTCCCCTCACCCCAACATGGGAATGCTGACTGCCCTTGGTGGCATCCCCTGAAGCTGTCCCTTTGCTGCCTCCCACCCTCTTTGTAGTCACTGACTTAACCAGTGTCATTTACCAGACAAGCAGGGGAGACCTGAGGCCTCAAGCCTCTGGACACCATCCACCCCCCAGCCTGCTCTTCACCAGAGCCAAATGCAGACCTATCAGCTGCTTTCCCAGCTCAGAGGTACTCCTCTTCCTTTACCCCAGCCACTCAGAAACACGACTATAACTTTTTCTTTCTTTTTTTTTTTTTTTTTTGAGAGGTTTTTGCTATAGGGCACATGTGCTCGCCAGAAAGACCGAGAGAAACAGAGAGACAGAAAGTGAGAAATCACTCCCCAGGGGGGCTGGCCATGCCGCAATTCCTTCTCCTCCATTCTCCTCTCGGGATCTTGGGCACACATGCACATGCTCCTGGCATGAGTTTAATCCACCGGTTCCGGGACTCAAACTGCAGTCAACTACATGGGAGTCCAGTGACACAGACAATACTCCAACTACTGGTCCCTGGACACATAAAATTTTTAAAACAAAGCAAAAAACACAAGATACAAAACAACACATGAAGCAATGCTGGCGACCAGGTGCCTCCGTGGGCCTTTGGCCTGTTACCCTAACTGCTCAAGGTCCTAACCACCACCAGCAATTCCAGCTGAGCTGTCATCGGCAGGAATAAATGAGGGGCAGCCCCCAGAGACATCTCTGCTCCAGCGAATATGCATGTCATCCTTATGTTTTTATTCCTTTGACTGCCCAGCACAATGCTGAGCTCTAGGCCAGGCAGCAGGAAGGCTCTAGGGTCTGGAGGCCAGGGTCTTGGAATTCAGGAGTGTCCCTTAGGGCAAGCTGCTCCCTTCTTTCTGGGTCTTTTTATTTCTGTACAATGAGGGAGGCAGGGCTGGCCACACCAGATACATAATGCAGGGGGAACGAGAGCTCTCTGTTACAGACATGGTTGACCATGGACCCATGGCCTGGAAGGAAACAAGGTAGGGAATCCAAAAATGTGTCTCTGTGACCAGAGGAGAAAACCCTGGGGGGCTGAGCAGAGACAGCTGGGCCCCTCGTCCCAGCAGCTTCCCGTACTCTGAACCAGCCCAGTGCTCTTCACACATTTCACAAGTAGCAGTATCGATGAGGCACTGAGCAAGACTGTGACTGCCAGAAACCAGACTGCCAGCTTCCTGCTGCAGCACATGGTACATCTGAATTGAAGAGGCCATTGTTCCTTGTGGGTGCGTGTCCATGAGAATGCTGTGTGTGGGTGTGTGTGCACGCACATGTGTTCACACACATGAGTTGATACGTGTCTGTGGTGCACATGGGTTTCCCCGTGTGTTCATTTCAAGATTGGAATGTGCACATCTCCATTTCCACGAGATTTGTACTGAGTAGGGTGTTGGGGAGTTGACTGGGTTGCTGAGAGACAGTCGCCCATTTCCCCCTGTGGGATCCATCACTGAGCCTGTGTGTTGTAGGTGTTTCGGCCCATGAGGGAATGTGGGGCTGGAAGCATTGTATCTATACTATTGAAATAACCGGGTGTTGGGTAGATTACAAAGTTGATATTATTTACATCAGAATGGGACCACACACTTTTACCAGTCACCCTTCCAAGAGTGACCTACCTGCCAGCTTTAGGGTGCAAGGTCCCCCCCCAACCCAGAGCAGGTACAGGGGTGACAGTGATGGCCCTACAGCCTTGATTTCATCAGCTCCAAGATCACAACCAAGCACACAGGTCGTGCTGCAATGGTGACACCTCCGTGAATGTCCTGAGTGCTTTGTTCGTTCCTTATTCATTCAGCAAAAACTGACTGTGTACTTCTTGCAGACATGGCCATTCATGGCAAACAGGCGGGCTGGGAAGGATAGGTGATGTAACCCCATTTTTATCACATGGCTTGTTAGCTGGCACTCAGGGCCCCTCTGCACTGAGAGCTCCTGCATGTCACTGTCATGAGGGCTTGTGCTAGCACTGTCTATATTTGCCTTTTTAAAATGGCTCTACACAGGGGTCCTCAGCTTCCCCACTGAGGGGTCAAAAGGCCTCTCTAAGATGTCACCACCCTCTCCACAGAGTGGCGACAAGGAAGCGGGGCGAGGATGATCCTACAGGATGAAGACATCACCACCAAGATTGAGAATGACTGGAAGAGACTGAACACGCTGGCCCATTACCAGGTGAGATGAGTGTGGAGGGGGGCTGGGGCCAGCCCACTGGAAGTCCACATTCCTAAGTGTCTCAGGCCCTGTATTACAGGGTTGATCCAAGGCTGGACAACAAGCCCCAATTCACTTCCTCGCCAACACTCCATGTTCCTTTAATGACTCAGGGAAACAGCTGCCACTCAGCCAGGGCACCAGGGAGTTCTGGCCTCTTCGGAGCTAGGTTGCCGACATGCATGCTTCCTGCAGGGCCTGGGCAGTCCCCGAGGGAGGGTCCCTCTTCAGAATTTTCTCTGGGCAGCTAAGGCCAGGGATCTTCCAGAGGCGTATTAAGATAGGGAATGCTATAAGTTCCTCCAACAGTGAGGCACAAAATAGAATATTTACAGATCTGTGTCTTGTTTTCTTCAAAGAAAAGCTGGTGGTCTCCAAAGTCCTGTAGTTCTCCAACAAGGCACTGATTATTCCATAGGGTCAACTAATCCTGATTTGTCCTTATTTCCATGGGTGGCAGAGCTTCTGTGCCCAGGCCTTAGAAGCCTTTTCCCCATAGGTGCCAGATGGTTCTGTGGTGGCTTTAGTGTCCAAGCAGGTGACAGCCTATAACGCAGTGAACAACTCCACTGTCTCCAGAACCTCAGCCAGCAAATATGGTAAGCTTCATCGAATGACCTGGGAGATGAGGATGGCTGAGCAGTGGCTGTTAGTTGACAGCATGGCTGGAAGGCAGTGGATCCCAGGGCCAGGGAGCAGGGGCATTGGGCAAGCCAGGCCAGCTGACATCAGGCAGGAGAGTCAGACTGGGGGAGAGGCTCCTGGGTCACTGGGTGATTCAGATGCTTAAGCAAACCCTTCATCCATCAGCTCAAGAAGAAAATCTAACCTTCCTGTCTTACAGGCTGTAAGATGCTTTTCCTCTTGTGATCGTCATTATCTCACATCATATTCATAACAATCCAGTGAATTAAATAATTATTATTTCCCCCTATTATGCAGATTAGTAAATTATAACTCAGATGCACAGAGGCTAAACGGCTTGTAAAGGTCACACAATCATTATGCAGTGAAGCGAAGGCAGCCCCAGGTCTAAGGCTCTGCGGTGGAGGGGAAAGTGTGCTGATGTGGGATAGGAGCCCTGAAGGCTACCTATTCCGCCACCAGCTGTGTGCTTGGGGGCTGGTCACCTGACCACTATGAGCCTTGGTTTTCTTATTGGTAAACAGGGATTCAAAAACTCTCAACTTCATAAGATTATTCCAGATCATATATATTAGGTCATCAGGAAAGTCATGAGATATTTTTCTGTGTAAAAGTGCATCATGACTTTCCTGATGACCCCATAAATACATGCAACAGTGCCTGCACACAGTAGGACCATTCTCTTCTTTGCCTGCACAATAACTCGTTTCACCACATCTCACAAGTACTGCCGGGAGTTTCAGCAAATAAATGGGAAGAAGTGGCCCAGACCAGAGCAGGAGGTGTCGAGGTGTGCATAAAGGGGAGCAGGTTAGCAGGCAATTACTCAGCTGGTCAACACTTATTAAGGGAGACAGGCTACCTGGTCTTAAATGTGTACTTAATTGGCTACACAGAACACATCCTGAGACATGACATGAGAAGTCTTACAAGGAAAAATGTAAAAAAAAAAAAAAAAAAAGCACCAGCTTATATTTTTACAAATTGAATAATTAAGGGTTGATGGGCTGCAAAGTACATGAGAAGGGGAGAGCCCTGAGTGAGTGGAACTAGTCAGACAGCTTCCTGGAGGTGGTGGGAAGGGCATCCCAGTTTGGGGAAATGTTCAGACCAAGGGAAGGTGACAGCGCCAAATTGCAGGATCAGGCAGCAAGCCTCTGCTGGCGCACGGGCTGTGTTGTGGGTTAACAGGCTTATGGCTGTGTGGCCTCACACACACGGGGGGGTGGCCCTTGCATTGACAGAAAACATGATCCGGTACACGGGCAGCCCCGACAGCCTCCGCTCACGGACACCCATGATCACCCCCGACCTGGAGAGTGGAGTCAAGCTGTGGCACTTGGTGAAGAACCACGAGCACGGGGACCAGAAGGAGGGGGATCGGGGCAGCAAGATGGTGTCTGAAATCTACTTGACACGACTGCTAGCCACCAAGGTATGGGACTTGAGAACAGGTGCAGGGACCTGCCCACCGAAATGCCAGAACACACAAATGCCTATTGCTGGTGCTAGCACCCACTCTAGGATCTCACAGCTGGTTACTGCTAATCAGCCCTAAGACTCTTTATCAGTACAGGACCTCAGAGTCCTTCTCAGCCGAGTGCGCCAGGCACCTCCACCAACCCATCTGCATTGGCATTCAGTCTGTGGTGGTGTTTCTGCCCCTTCTCTCTACCTTTCTCAAACAGAGACATGCCTTCTTCCCACCTTGTGAAAGAATGTCTTCTGCTCTGGGCAGCATGCACAATCTCAGCTGATGGCAGGTGGGGCTAACCCAGTGACTTTCCAGGCACCATTTCTAATCCTGGTTCTGGGGACAGTTCTTGCTTGCAGTTGTGTTCTTTCCCTCCTGAGACTGGGCTCAGCTCTGCTCTCTGCAGAGCCAAATGAGTAACTGCTCATTAGGCAGTATGAATAATGCCCAAACAAAACCAGCAGATTGTGTTTGTCTGTTCTGACCGAGGAGCGTTCATTAGCATTCATGAAAAGTGCTAAAATAACACCGCCAGAGGGTGTTAAACCAAACCATGTTGTAGGCAGAGGAAGGCTCGCTTAGGTCCAGTCATCGGTGTTACATCTATTTTCCACGTGCAGGGGAAATCCAAAGCTGTTAGAGACAGATAAAAGGAGGAAAAAAGGTTTACTACACAAACTTATCCCGTTGCACCCAAGCAGGGCAGGCTGCACGTTGTGAGATTTAAAAACTATTCTCAGAGCTCTGTGGGTCGAGCTGTGTCTGAACGTGTCCACTTCCCCAGGGCACGCTGCAGAAGTTTGTGGACGACCTCTTCGAGACCATCTTTAGCACGGCCCACCGCGGCTCTGCGCTGCCTCTGGCCATCAAGTACATGTTTGACTTCCTGGATGAGCAGGCGGACAAGCACGGCATTCACGACCCGCATGTCCGCCACACCTGGAAGAGCAACTGGTGAGTGACGGGAATTAGGTCATCAGGAAAGTCATGAGATATTTTTCTGTGTAAAAGTGCATCATGACTTTCCTGATGACCCCATAAATACATGCAACAGTGCCTGCACACAGTAGGACCATTCTCTTCTTTGCCTGCACAATAACTCGTTTCACCACATCTCACAAGTACTGCCGGGAGTTTCAGCAAATAAATGGGAAGAAGTGGCCCAGACCAGAGCAGGAGGTGTCGAGGTGTGCATAAAGGGGAGCAGGTTAGCAGGCAATTACTCAGCTGGTCAACACTTATTAAGGGAGACAGGCTACCTGGTCTTAAATGTGTACTTAATTGGCTACACAGAACACATCCTGAGACATGACATGAGAAGTCTTACAAGGAAAAGTGTAAAAAAAAAAAAAAAAAAGCACCAGCTTATATTTTTACAAATTGAATAATTAAGGGTTGATGGGCTGCAAAGTACATGAGAAGGGGAGAGCCCTGAGTGAGTGGAACTAGTCAGACAGCTTCCTGGAGGTGGTGGGAAGGGCATCCCAGTTTGGGGAAATGTTCAGACCAAGGGAAGGTGACAGCGCCAAATTGCAGGATCAGGCAGCAAGCCTCTGCTGGCGCACGGGCTGTGTTGTGGGTTAACAGGCTTATGGCTGTGTGGCCTCACACACACGGGGGGGTGGCCCTTGCATTGACAGAAAACATGATCCGGTACACGGGCAGCCCCGACAGCCTCCGCTCACGGACACCCATGATCACCCCCGACCTGGAGAGTGGAGTCAAGCTGTGGCACTTGGTGAAGAACCACGAGCACGGGGACCAGAAGGAGGGGGATCGGGGCAGCAAGATGGTGTCTGAAATCTACTTGACACGACTGCTAGCCACCAAGGTATGGGACTTGAGAACAGGTGCAGGGACCTGCCCACCGAAATGCCAGAACACACAAATGCCTATTGCTGGTGCTAGCACCCACTCTAGGATCTCACAGCTGGTTACTGCTAATCAGCCCTAAGACTCTTTATCAGTACAGGACCTCAGAGTCCTTCTCAGCCGAGTGCGCCAGGCACCTCCACCAACCCATCTGCATTGGCATTCAGTCTGTGGTGGTGTTTCTGCCCCTTCTCTCTACCTTTCTCAAACAGAGACATGCCTTCTTCCCACCTTGTGAAAGAATGTCTTCTGCTCTGGGCAGCATGCACAATCTCAGCTGATGGCAGGTGGGGCTAACCCAGTGACTTTCCAGGCACCATTTCTAATCCTGGTTCTGGGGACAGTTCTTGCTTGCAGTTGTGTTCTTTCCCTCCTGAGACTGGGCTCAGCTCTGCTCTCTGCAGAGCCAAATGAGTAACTGCTCATTAGGCAGTATGAATAATGCCCAAACAAAACCAGCAGATTGTGTTTGTCTGTTCTGACCGAGGAGCGTTCATTAGCATTCATGAAAAGTGCTAAAATAACACCGCCAGAGGGTGTTAAACCAAACCATGTTGTAGGCAGAGGAAGGCTCGCTTAGGTCCAGTCATCGGTGTTACATCTATTTTCCACGTGCAGGGGAAATCCAAAGCTGTTAGAGACAGATAAAAGGAGGAAAAAAGGTTTACTACACAAACTTATCCCGTTGCACCCAAGCAGGGCAGGCTGCACGTTGTGAGATTTAAAAACTATTCTCAGAGCTCTGTGGGTCGAGCTGTGTCTGAACGTGTCCACTTCCCCAGGGCACGCTGCAGAAGTTTGTGGACGACCTCTTCGAGACCATCTTTAGCACGGCCCACCGCGGCTCTGCGCTGCCTCTGGCCATCAAGTACATGTTTGACTTCCTGGATGAGCAGGCGGACAAGCACGGCATTCACGACCCGCATGTCCGCCACACCTGGAAGAGCAACTGGTGAGTGACGGGAGAGAAGAGGCACAGCAGCCAAGGCCAGTGACCTGCCCACCCAGCCCTGAGTCAGTGGTGATAGGAGCTTGGGCTCCTGGCTCACATCCAGCTGCAGGGACTCTACGTAGGCGCACTTTCTGCCCCATTACACCCACTCCTACTATATTTCTGTGTTCACTTCCTCTCTCATTTCCTTCTAGTCCAATGTGTCTGTGTATCTTTCTTTCGTATAGCTCAATCAGTCAACAAATATTTAATAAACCAGCTAAATGAGCAGGAAGCACTACACCAAATGTCACAGCCAGGTCACTATCACATCCAAGTGCCTCTTGGGTGCCTGGTATTATGCTAGACACTGAGGGTCATACCCTACTCAGCCAGGGCCCTGCTCTCAAAGTACTGTCAGACAAGGGTAAGAGACAAGGAAGTCAGTTGTCTGCCAGAGAGAGGAATGCTATGATAGAAGATGCATTGCATGCAACCGGGTCACAGAGGGACAACGTCTCATGGTGACTTGATGACAGTTTTCAAGCACATCGAGAAGTCACCCAGGTAAACAAGGGGCATTCCATTCCTAGTGAAGAAATACTCTTCCCTTCCCATAAACACCTTTTCCAAACTCTGTTTGGAGAAGAGACCTGACCATAACTCCTTTGTCTTCCTTTGAGACAACAAGATTTTCCGACTACTAACTGGCACTCTAGGTGCCCCTACTCTGGTCCTCTCTGTCCTGTGAACATACATCATCATTCCTTTCATGCGGGTCTAGTTTATGTTTCAGGTTGAAATTCCAAGGTCAAACATTAGTATTCAGCACTGTGGAATTTGCAGTGAGTTGATGATAAAATGCAGGGCCAAAATGGCCTCTGTTTAAGAGTTCTGCCCCAAGCAGAGCTGGCTTCGGTTTAGTCCCATCAATTCCAGAATTGCTTCCCTCTAGCTTTTACACAATTCCATTCCAGGTTGTTCTTCCCCAGATCATTCTTCCAAGGCAGTGTGGGCCTATTGCCCAGCACCTACAACTGTGAGGACTGGCAAGGTACTAGGGCACAGTGAGGCACCCTGACAACCAGCCCTGGGCTCCCAACCAAAACTCAGAGGAAGGCGGCCATCAGGCTGTGGTACTAAAACTGTATTCCATGTGTGATGCTCTGGCTCTTCGTCTTCTTCACCTGGAGAAGAGTGCTGGCTCTGCTGAAGTTGAAAAAAAATATCAGGCTTGGCCCATAGAACTGAAGAGTGGGGTTTGCACCCACCGTAATGTTCAGTGAGAGACCATCTCCAGTCTTTCTGAAATAAGACCCTGGGAATATGGCTCTTCACTCAGCGGAGCAACACTGGGGGGGGGCACCTATTTCCTACTCTGTAAGTTCCACAGGGTCTGGTCTCTCCCAGTGCTTTCCTCTAGGTAAGATGGCATTTAGCTCTCCCAGTCCTCCTGGCATAAATTTTTGGAGCTGTTCTGAAGGCCAGGTCTCCAACCTACACAATCTATTTCTCTCTGTCAGTGAATCTTCCTGAATACTTCCCCATGGGAAATCAGCAGGCTTTGGGATACAAGTACTCTACCTAGAGTTTCTCATGGAAGAGTTGGGTCTTTCCAAGTTATCTTCACATGCTCCTAGTAGCCCATTATGGAAATATCACCTAAAATGTTCCCTAAATTATTTGTTTTAATTTCATCTCTCCTGCTAAGGTAAGGCTACTTCCAAGGGTACCATAATGCACTTGGATACAGGCATTTTCTCCTTTCTTTTTTGGGGGGGGGGATTTTTTTTTTCCCATAGAGCATGTACACTTGCTGGCAAGACAGAGAGAGACAGAGAAAGACAGAAACAAGAAATCACCCCCAGGAGGGATGGCCACACTACAGTCCCCTCTCCACTCAGGATTTTGGGCATACATGCACACACGCCCAGGTGAATTTCAAGCTAACGGATCCGAGACTCAAACCATGGTCAACCACAGGGAAATCCAGCACCTTAACCTTTACACCATCTGCTGGCCTCAGGCATTTCCTCCCTTTCTGCCAGCTCTTTCAAGTTCTAAGGTGTCAGTGCAAAGAGTACCAGGTCCCAGTGAAGGACATCCTTGGGAGTAGGTGGGGCACTAGGCTCAAGTTCTCTAGAGCATCAAAGGACACTTCCCTGACCCTGACGTGATCCTTTGCTACCTTGGGAAAGAAGCAATTAGTTGGGGGAATTATGAGATCTGCATATTGACTTGGAGTTAATTATGCCTGATTGAAGAGATTGTTCTTTATTCCTGACCCAAGGTGTAATGCACCCTCTCCCCACCCCCTTCTTCCATAGTCTCCTACCTTTTCTCTTTTAAATAAACCTCCTGCTCATTTAGCCTGAGTGGCTGCAATCAACCAGAGATTAGTGCCACCACTAATGTTAATAACATGCTAATATTTCATTAGGCAGGAGCCTCCGGTGGGTGCCACGGCTTCCCTGTTTGATTTGCCTGTCATCACAACTGGTGTATGGAA